TACACGAAGCTGCATGGAAAATAGTTATTTTAAACTTATAATAATTTAGTTTTTATAATAATTTAACTTTTAGAAGACTTACTTCTGGTTCCATAATAAGTGTTTGTTTTTGGAGCAAGCCAATCCTCTATAGGTACAAAAAAGCCTCCTGGATTTTACTGGCTATGCTCTCCATACACACTAACCATTTAGTTAGGTAGTAGCAATCCAGTCCTTATTTTATCTGGCCAGACCTTCATTATTCTGGCTGGCAAACGCTCTCTACAACTAACTGGATCCGGACACTATAAAGACTATACGAGTTAATACCATGCAGCTGCATGTTGAACATTTCATTTCTTAAAGTAACATGACATTATTGTAGGCTGAACCTCTGTAATTATATAAACTATTTAATTTCTCATAATGACTGTGATAATTAATATGTAAATACGTATTTACTCCATCGTATACTACATCCCCAATAGATACAGCACAAAACAAAATGGATCACAGATATCCACAGGGGGAAAAACCACAAGCAAATCCTGTGATATGAACATTTATAAGATTTACATTGCTTTTCTAAAACTTTACAAAATTGCAACAATTTGTCCAACATTCTCACTTATACAATATTGCAAAAAAAAGTCCATATAGTCAAACATTTATTGATTATGGTTTATTCCAGGATATTATCAAGGAAATTAAGAATTTACAATGCTGAGCTGGATTAAGAAGCTGACACCTCCTTTCAATATAGGATTACATCTGAGGAAGACTGTAAAGTTGAAATGAGTTCACAACCGGGTACTCATTATGTTTGACTCTATGGACATTTTTACAATATTGTATAAGTGAGAATGTTGGACAAATTGTTGCAATTTTGTAAAGTCTTAGAAAAGCAATGTAAATCTTATCAACGTTGTTCATATCACAGGGCTTGCTTGTGTTTTTTTCCCCACCTGGAGGTTTGGCAATCCTGGCTATGACTGCTGTTTATTTAAACATTTACTCCCTGCCTTTCCTTGTGTTTCCAGGTGGCTTACAATAATAGTTAAAAAAACCCAACATTTCCAGTTCAAACCAGACTAAAACAGCAAACCCCAAATTTCTCCCTCCCTTCTCTCCTCGAAAGATGCCTGCCATTCAAACCAATGTTCCCTCTAAGCTGTGGAGTCCTGTGAGCAAAAATTCTACTTTGTGAGCGATGGGCATTAAAGTGGTGAGCGGGCGATTTGGCTGCTGCATAAATTAAGTTTGCTCTGGAGCCCTCCTTCCCGAGCTAAGGCAAAAATGTGTGAGCCGGAGGCTAAAAAGCTGTGAGCCAGCTCACACTAACTCAGCTTAGAGGGAACACTGATTCAAACCCATTCAAAAGCCCTGGGACACAGGCAGGCCTTGCAGCACCTCCTGAAGATCTGTGAGGACAGCCCCATCCCACCCTTCAGGAAGCCTGCTCTACACAGCAGAAGCCACGATGGAAAAAGTCCGGGCTCTGGTCAATGCCAGATGAGCCGACCTGAGTGGCGGGATAGACAACAGAGGCATAGCGCAACGTGAGCTGCACTGGTTACCGGGATGAGCACCAGATCAAGGTCAAGGTTCTGTTGCTTACTGTTCAGGCCCTTAATGGTCTGGTGCCTGTGTATCTTTGAGACCACCTCTCCTGGTATACCCCTCTGAGAGCATTACACTCAGCGGGTAAGAACTGGCTTGTGGTCCCCGGCCCGAGAGAAATCCGGCTGTTCTCAACTAGGGCCAGAGCTTTTAGTGCTGTGGAACTCTCTACCGAGTAACACCCGTGCCCTGCGGGACTTATTACAGTTCTGCAGGGCTTGTAAGGCAGGGATGTTCCCGCCAGGCGTCTAGCTGAGGACAGCCACGGTGTCTACCTGGCGGGCATTCTCCCCCCCTCCCCCTTGCAAGGCAGTAGCACAATGGGAACTTGGATCACCATCTGTTTTCTAAACTGTATAGCTACTACGGAATTGAGGAGCTTTGCTACTATGGGATTTCATTGTGGTTTTTATTTGTTTTAAACTGTATGGTACGGATTTGCTTGTTGTGCACTGCCCTGAACCCAATTGGGGAATGGGTGGTATAAAAGCAGAACAGAATGAATGAATGAATGAATGAATGAATGAATG